CTAAAAAAAAAAAAAAAAAAAAAAATACAACAATTAGCCAGGCGTGTTGGCACACCCCTGTAATCCCAGCTGCTCAGGAGGCTGAGGCAGGAGAATTGTTTGAGCCCGGGAGATGGAGGTTGCAGTGAACCAAGATCGTATCACTGCACTCCAGCCTGGCCAACAGAGTAAGACTCTATCTCAAAATAATAATAATAATAATAATAATAATAAGGCCGGGCGCGGTGGCTCACACCTGTAATCCCAGCACTTTGGGAGACCAAGGCGGGTGGATCACGAGGTCAAGAGATCGAGACCATCCTGGTCAACATGGTGAAACCCCGTCTCTACTAAAAATACAAAAAATTAGCTGGGCATGGTGGTGCGTGCCTGTAATCCCAGCTACTCAGGAGGCTGAGGCAGGAGAATTGCCTGAACCCAGGAGACGGAGGTTGCGGTGAGCCGAGATCGCGCCATTGCACTCCAGCCTGGGTAACAAGAGTGAAACTCCGTCTCAAAAAAAAAAATAATAATTTTTTTTTTTTTTTTTTTTTTTTTAGGCTAAGTTGAAAAAAGAGAAAGTCAAAAAGAAAGGAGAAGCGATAATTTGAGTAAAATAACACAAGTAGCACCCGTGGTATTTGTTCGTTGTTTGCCCCAAGCTGCATAAGGGCAGGGATGTTGGTTTGTTCTATCCCCTATATTTCTCTAGCACCTAGAACAATGCCTGGCACATAATAGGTGCTTCATATTAGTTGAATGAATATCAAAAATTAAGACTGCCAATTTCAAATGTATGAATTTCGGGAAATACTGAAGTAACATGTATAAAACTCTCAGTACAGTATGTGGCACACAGGACTCAAAAATATGCATGGATATGTTTGTTTGTTTGTTTGTTTGTTTTTTTGAGACGGAGTTTCGCTCTTGTTACCCAGGCTGGAGTGCAATGGCACGATCTTGGCTCACCGCAACCTCTGCCTCCTGGGTTCAGGCAATTCTCCTGCCTCAGCCTCCTGAGTAGCTGGGATTACAGGCACGCGCCACCATGCCCAGCTAATTTTTTGTAGTTTCAGTAGAGATGGGGTTTCACCATGTTGACCAGGATGGTCTCGATCTCTTGACCTTGTGATCCACCCGCCTCGGCCTCCCAAAGTGCTGGGATTACAGGCGTGAGCCACTGCGCCCGGCCCGGATATGTTTATTAATATACATTATTATTATTTAGACGTGAAACAGGCATTGTGGCCAAATGCTAACTAGCAAAGTGTTAAAAGATTTGCCCAAAGCTGGATATTACCTTCTTAGAATGAATTTCTGTAATTTAAGAACAAACCTGAAAGTGTTTTAAATAGTTATTACTATTGGCTGGGCGCAGTGGCTCATGCCTATAATCCCAGCACTTTGGGAGTCTGAGGCAGGCGGATCATGAAGCCAGGAGATCAAGACCATCTTGGTTAATACAGTGAAACCCAGTCTCTACTAAAAATACAAAAAAATTAGCTGGGCATGGTGGCAGGTGCCTATAGTCCCAGCTACTCGGGAGGCTGAGGCCAGAGAATTCCTTGAACCTGGAAGGCGGAAGTTGCAGTGAGCTGAGATTTCACCATTGCACTCCAGCCTGAGTGGCAAGAGCGAAACTCCGTCTCAAAAAAAAAAAAAAGTTATTACCATCATAATTCTATTATCCACAATTTTAGCAGGAAAATGTTTCAGGTTGAACACCTTACTGAGGGATCATTTATCTGCTTTGTCAGCTGTTAATTTGCTCCTATAGTCCATAAGTTCCTAGGGCAGTTTTAAGATGTGGCCCCAAATTTTTTGACCTGCCTTCCACCACCAAAGGGTGGAGTCTCTGTCCCCTCCTCTAGAATCTGGGCAGGTTTGTGATTGCTTCAGCCGACAGAGTAGAGCAGAAATGAGGCTGAGGTGTAAAGGGCAGTGTCTCCTGGAATGCTCACTCTGGAGCCCTGAGCCACCAGGTGAGAAGTTCAGATGTCTTGTGGTAGCCATATTGAAAGGAAGCCCAAGTCAGCCAGACAGACAATGAGTCCAGCTACCAGCTGAGCCCAGCCTTTAAGTCATCCCAGCCCAGGTACTAGACTTGTGAGTAAAAAGCCTCCCTTTGGGAGACCGAGGCAGGGGGATCACTCAAGCCGGGAGTTCAAGACCAGCCTGGGCAACATGGTGAAACCCCATCTCTACAAAAAAAAAAAAAAAAAAAAATCAGTTGGGTATGGTGGTGCACACCTGTAGTCCCAGCTACGGGAGGCGAAGTTGGGAGGATTGTTTGAGCCCAAGTGGTAGAGGTTGCAGTGAGCCATGATCAGAACACTGCACTCCAGCCTGGGCAACAGAGTGACACCCTGTTTCAAAACAAACAAATGAAGCCTCCCTATTCCAGTCCCTGTTCCTTTAGGCTTTCTAGCTGAGGACCGGGTTATCATGGAGCAGGGGCTGTTCCCTGTCCAACTTTCTGAGTCACAGAATCCATGAGCATTTACTGTACCCACTAGCTTCGGGTGGTTTGTCATGCAGCAAGAGCCAAAACAGCTCCTGGCTTCATAGCTGCAGGACTGAAAGTGTTATTTTTTATGCAGAAACTAAAGTCCATCTCCCTACTTATGCTGCTATCTGAATGTTTGCAATAATTATTTCCGAATATAAAATGAATGACCTTCACCATCATTGCTAATCATGGCCATGATTTTATGTATGAAATAACCGTTGTGGCAGAGTAGCTGTATATTTCTCCTTCAGCCCGACTGGGAGAATGCCAACGTATAACCACATACGGAGCTATCGCTTCCAAGTGACATCCAGAAAGCTTTTCCATATTTGAAAGGGAATATGTGATATAAATGCTAAATAGGAATGTAAAACTTGGCTTGGGTTCCTGGTGTAGTTGCATTCATTCCGTAAGATGGGTCAAATATTTCTGACTCTAAGTGGCACCACAATGACATGGAAGTAATTTTCATATTCAGCTTTTCTGAAGACCAAGATCCTGGCAGGACCTCAAAGCAACCTTGTGACTGTTATTATTATTTTTTCTAATATCTTCCTGGCTCCTTGGTGTGAGTGGCAAGGTTGCTGGGAGCAGGAGGAGAAACTCCTGCTCACGGACCCCTGGCATACAAGGGAACCTAGCGAATGGCTGTTGAGTGTGTTAAAACGTGCGCTCTGAATGAAGAGACCCCCCCCAAATAGGCTTTGTGTGAGCAACATGGCTGTTTATTCACCTGGGTTCGGGCAGTCTGAGTCCGTAAAGAGAGTCAGCGGAGGGCGGTGGGATAGGAGTTGGGTTTGTAGGTTTGGAGTAGGCAGTGGAAAGTTACAGAAGTTATAGTTTAGGGTGGTTTTTGCAAGCTAGAAGCAGGTTGTAGGGTCTGGAGTCAGGAGGTCGCTTACAAAGTCCAATTCCCTTATCAATTGAGGTGGGAATAAGGAAAAACAGAAGAACATGTCAAGTTAATTAGGCGCTGCTGGAGTTGATCATTCTTCCCCTTTCTGTGGTCTTCCAGTTACTTCAGATTTTCCAGGAACTCACCTGGAGTGTCTGTGCAGGTCACAGGGGTTACCATGATGTCCTTGGCGCTGTCAGTCAGCGTAAAAGGCCTTACAGAATGTATCACAATCTCCCCAGCCCCTCCACTCCTCCAAGAAAGCAATGATGCAGATGGAACTCAGAATGGCTGTCAGAGGTGTTTCAACCAGAGCAACTCCACCTTGAATAGGGCTTGGGTAAAATAAGACTGAGACCAGCTGGGCCGCATTCCCAGTAAGTTAAGGCTTTCTAAGTCAGAGGATGAGACTGGAGGTCGGCATAAGATACAGGTGATAAAGACCTGGCTGATAAAACAGGCCCCAGGTGGGCCTTTCTTCACTGGAACAGCAGGTTTTCAGCAGCACGTGGCCGATTCCAGGCAGGAAATCTGTTGTCTCGCAATGTTGAGGCAGCAGTGCCCCCTGGTGGCCACTGGGGCGAGGCTCTGCAGAGGCTCTAGAAAAGGGTGTTTCCTCCCCAGAAGCTGCCAGATGGAGAATGGGGTGTGGTGGGGGGCAGCGTCTCAGGTTTTGTTCCCAGGGTCTGGCGCCCCTGTCTCCATCTTACAGGACCCCATTTTCCATGTTGCTCCAAGGTAGATGTCTTTTTTGCTCACTGAGCATCTATTTCCACTTCTGGAAGTAGCACCCTACTTCCTTTGGGACGCCCACACTCAGGACACGTGGTTCTTGAAGGCCTAGCTTCTCCTACTCCACCCCATCTGCCCATACCCCATGCATTGGTGCACAGTGATTTGCCAAGGGATGAGCATGTGTGACCCAAATCAATAATGGGAGCTGGGCCTGGAATTTTGTTGTTGCCTGGGACTTTTTCTGCAGAAGTGATTGGGAAAGAGTTTGTTTGGAAAAGGACATCTCTGTGTCTGGTTGTAGGAGAGGCTGTTTTACACAACTTGTTTCTCTTTCCTTGGAAATGAAGCTAACACAGAGTAATACAGAACAGCTGAATCCAGCAGTACCTGAAGCCAATGTGCTCCGGGGAAATTCCAGTTAAGTGAATCAATTAAAATCTTACTTTTTTTTTTTTTTTTTGAGACGGAGTCTCGCTCTGTCACCAGACTGGTGCAGTGGCACCATCTCAGCTCACTGCAACCTCCGCCTCCCTGGTTCAGGCGATTCTTCTGCCCCAGCCTCCCGAGTAGCTGGGACTACAGGCACGCACCAGCCCAACTAATTTTTGTACATTTTAGTAGAGATAGGGTTTCACCATGTTGACCAGGCTGGTCTCGATCTTTTGACCTCATGATCTGCCCACCTCTGCCTCCCAAAGTGCTGGGATTACAGGCGTGAGCCACCGCGCCTGGCCAAAATCATATTTCTAAAGTCAGTGGGAACTGAGGGACCCACGCACTCTGCCCGATTTGCTCCAGGTCCTAATTCTTCCCCTCCCTCCCCGCAAAATGTCCAGATTGCTGTGTACGTTTGTAAGCTCGGAGGCCGCATTAATCAAAACCATCTTTATTATTTAAAGAGTATCCTGTCATCAGGGGCACCTAGACAGGAGTCCCAGCCAGCAGAACAATATTTACATGGGGGTCAGGAGGGTGAGGTCAGGTGGTCTCAGGGCTGAGTGGGCCCGCTACTGTGGAAGCAAGGACCCTGGAGGGAGGGTATCCTTGGACCTGGGGACAGGTTCCAAGAAGAAAAACGTCCCATCCTAGGCCCAGCGTGGATCCCACCACTGAGATCACCTCGGGCCCTGGAGGCTGCGCAGCGAGAAGCCGCCAGTCAGAGCTGGGTCACCATGCCGCCGGCTTCGGAGTGAGTCTGGGGAAAGACAGATGGGGGCTCCCGAGGTCTGAGAGGCTTCCACGTCCCACCACTGGCCTCCCCTCCCCAGGAGCCCTTTGAAGTCCATCTGCTCCCCAGGGGGCCCCTCTTCTAGGCCTAAGCGTAGGTCTCCTAAAACAGATCTCTGCCTCCCTTCCCTGGTTAGAGGGCCAAACATCCCCACCCTGGCTCCCATCTGGGCCCAACTTTCACCTTTATGGCCTGGAAGATCCACTCCCGGAAGTCACTGACTTTGGTATAGACGCCTGGCTTCTGGGCCAGGGCGCAGCCAGTGCCCCAGCTCACGATGCCACACAGCCGCCAACGTGGTGTCCGAGAGATGCTGTCCTCACACACAAAGGGACCACCACTGTCGCCCTGGGAGGGGACGGGGAGGCCTGGCTGGAGGCCAAGGTGGCCGGCCAGGAGGCCCCCTGGGATGACCGTGGGTGGTGGCTCCAGAGCCCTCAGGCTTTTACATAGGGAGCCCGACCACCCACTCCCCTGCATCTCCATCCCTGGGGTGGCAGTGGTGGGGGGGCTGCCCCCACACAGTCCCTCACCTGGCAGGCATCAATGCCACCCTCCGGGTAGCCAGCACAGAACATCTTGGGCTTGATCTGGTTTCCGTAGAAGTCAGCCCCGTTGCAGACATCATTGCTGATGATGGGGACTCGAGCCTCCTGGAGTACCCCGGCCTGTTGGCCTGGGGGCGTGCGGGCAAGGCTAGCCAGAACTGGGGAGTGTGCACACCCTCTTCCCTCCTGGTGCCCCCCCCATGCCCCTCAGCGTCCCTACTCCTCATGGTCAAGACTCATCCAACCAGCCAGACTGCCTGTCCCCAGCCCAGTTCAGTCTCCCAAACGGCAGCATCAGAGGCAGAGGACAGGACTCACCGTAGTACTGTGTGTTGCCCCAGCCCGTCACAGTGCAGATCTTGCCATCCACCAGGGCCTGACCAGCAGCTGGGAGGCACACAGGCTGGATGTATTCTGTGAGAGAGACCATGCTGGTCCAGTCCCTGCTGGCCTGCCCCACCCTGTACCAACCTCTGTCCAGCTGCCGCCACGGCCCAAACACACCCACCCTCTGTCCTTTTAAAACAACCTCAACAGGCCGTGCACGGTGGCTCACACCTGTAATTCCAGCAGGATTATAGGAGGCTGAGACAGGAGGATCACTTGAGGTCAGGAGTTCGAGACCAGCCTGGCCAACATGGTGAAACCCCGTCTCTACTAAAATTACAAAATTTAGCTGGGCACAGTGGCATGCACCTGTAATCCCAGCTACTTGGGAGGCTGAGGCAGGAGAATCGCTTGAACCCAACAGGTGGAGGTTACAGTGAGCTGAGATCGTGCAATTGCATTCCAGTCTGGGCAACAGAGCGAGACTCTGTCTAAA